TTTCTAAAATGTAGTTTGAAAACTACTGTCATGGAATAGTCTCATCAAGGCCATAGGTCATCATCTTCCATAGAAAACTTAACAGTCGTCTGAGCCAGCAGCTTGGGGACTTTTGTGAGTCTCCAGAGACTTTCAGGCAAATCACAGATAGAAAACTGTTTCCCCTAGAAGCATTAAGAAGTGATTTGCCCTTTTCTGTCTGATTTCCCTCCAAGCATACAATGGGGCTTTTCTAAGGTTTGATGCATCACACATTCAACCAGGTGTTAAAGGGGTGACAACAACAACAGCAAAATGTAAATCAATGCTACTCTTGTCCCTCAGGTTATCAAAAGGTGCCTATGTGTTCAATTTGAAGGAAATACTTGTGATTTTTCTGTTTTCCTTGTGATAGTGAAACTATAGTAGAACCTTCATAAACAGTCTATGGAGTTCTAAATAATTTTAAGAGTGTAAGAGAATGTGAGAGACTCAGATGTTTAAAAGCTGCTGTTCCAAAAAAAAAAACTCTCCACAGAAAAAAACAGGGCTTGTGGATAGTGCTCCAGAAGGAGTCCCTTCAAGTAGAAACAGACCATGTGAATTTGATTCCATAGACTTAGCATAACAGCATTCTGGCCTGCTGCTGTGAGCTGAAATACAAACCAAAAACTCAAAATATTTGGCTTGGGTAAGAAAATTAGAATCCCAAAGTAAGCTGTTATCTCACACTTATGTATTCTGCACCTAGAAGGACATGTGCAGAGAAACGAGCTGAGCCAAGAAAAATAGGACAGTGGACAAGGAAACATTGACCTAAGGCTGTGAGCATCATGATGCCTGGTGAGTGATTGCCAGGAAAGTGCACAGCTGAAATGTAAGGGTGTGTGTGTGTGTGTGTGTGTGTGTGTGTGTGTGTGTGGTGTATGCCATACCATTTATTAAACTTTGGGCAGAATTTGTTTCAAGATTTGCATAATTAGGATGATTATTTCTTTGGTAAAGATCACATCAGTGAGATGCTGTTGAGAGTGAAATGTGTCTGAGACACTGAGAGAGGATGCCTGGACAATAGGTATAGGCAGACCTTTCTTTCCCACCAGTCCACTCCCAAATAACCACACAGAGATATATTATTAATTACAAATGCTTGGCCAATAGCTTAGGCTTGTTGCTAACTAGCTCTTACATCTTAAATAAACCCGTATTTCTTATCTGTGTTTTACCTTGTGGCAGTATCTTTTCTTAGCATGGCATATTCATCTCTTGCTTCCTCTGAATCTGGCTGGTGACTCCACCCTTCTTCTCCCCTGTCCTCTCTTTTTGTCTGCTAGTCCTGCCTAACCCCTACCTGCCTATCTATTGGCCATTTAGCCCTTTATTAAGCTTATCTGTGTGACAAATCTTCACAATGTGCAAAAGGTTATTCCACAGAATTTCTCCCCTTTTGTCTAATTAAAAAGGAAGGTTTTAACATTAAACACAGTAAAACTATATATAACAAAAACAGTTATCAAGTAAGAATTATCCAGTCCAGTCCATTTGTATTTAACAAAGTTAGAGAAAATAGTCTATTTATCTTTATGAATCTAAAGTTTTATACTTAATTTACCTTTTATCATAATTAAGGAAAACTTTAAGTCTAATTCTTTAGTCTTTAACTCCATCAAAGACCCAAGAAGGGTATATTATTACCTAATGACAGGGACATCTATAATGGTGCCCCATGTTCACCTAATTATTCTTGATCAATAAAAAAGTTTAAGTCACATATCAGGGTAAGAACCTGAAAAATCAGAGAAGTGACCAGTGACCTCCTGTCTCTTCCATTCTTCCATAAAAAAGGACTGAGATCTTATTTAAGTCCTGCCCTACTACTTCCTGTCTCTCTATCTGTCCCCAGTCCTCTAAAACCTCTGTGGTTAATTTTGGTCAGCTAGTAAGCTCTGCCCTCTGATTCAAAGAAAACTTTATTGTCAGAATGTGATCAAAATATCACACAAGCAGGCCACTGTTATGGCTAAAGAACCTTCGTTTATGCTAGGCATCCATCTTGGAATCCACCAGCCATTTGTCACTGACTCTAGTCTCTGGAAGATAAATTCTCTGTAACCCTGACTCGGTGGTCCCCACCCAAAAATATATAGCCATGACAAGACTATCTACTTGTTATGATATGACTAACTACTATTTGTGCTTCTGTAACTTGCTACTCAGATACCCAGAGATTATTTTGAGTTTCCTTAACCACTAAACTTGGTAGAACAGAACATTTTTACTGTCTTACATAGATATTGAAGTTTCTTCATGTGGTTTTCCCCTTCAAAAGTCCTTCCTCATATCCCTCTTGCAGGCCAAACTCAAATTTGGCCCAGAGATTGTTCATCCTGCTAACAGTTAGTCAATAAATTTTTAATTATAATTGGATGGAGTCTATGGTCTTTTCACTAGGGTCACAAACTCCATAACAACACCTCTGCCCAGTACCCCAGTTTCTCTGATCTTGATAAATTCAGCTTTGTTTAGAAACAATACATTTACTTAGGATATCTGAGGATGGTACACAATCTGTGTACTTGACCCGCCATCAGTGGGCAGAATGGCAACTTCATGTAATAGGTGGATCAAAGACTACTGTGTCCCCAGCTATTGACCTTTTCCACATCACACAAATGACTGGCATCCATTTGTTAGGCTTTATTTTCTATTCAGGTAGGATGATCCTGCAGTGTGGCTCAAGTGTGGTTGTTAATGCCATCCGAGGAAGGTCGCCATCTCCTAGCAGCTGGAGGCTATTGGACACTGGACAGATAAGCTTTGCTGAGTATTAGAGGGAAAGTAAGGGCATATAACTGATCCCTATGAGAAATGCACAGTTTAGGGGTGATGACAGCCATCAGGTTTCTACCTAGGAACACAACAGGAGGGACAGGGGTGGGTAGGAACACAGTCCCTCTGTTCCAGTATGGATTGTACAGGCAAACTCACGCTAAGATCATTGAGATAAAAACAGGTACAAGTAGACCCACACGGAGCCATTTCCTCTTTTCTTGCAAGCATTTTCATGTATTTGCACCACCCTGTACCTTTCCTCCTCTGCCTCTACCTGCTGCTATTGTAACAAAATGCCACGAACTTTGTGACTTAAAACAACACAACTGTATTTCATCTCTGTAGGTCTTAAGTGTGACAGTGAACTAAAATCAAGGTATGGATCTAAGAGACTTCTAAATGGTCTAGAAAAGGCCACTTCTTTGATTTTTCTAAGGCAACAACATCCTTTTCCTCTGCCTTCAAAGTCAGCAACAGATCACCAGACACATGGCCACATTTTTCTCTACTACAGCCAGAAAAAAAAAATTCCTCTCTTAAGGTCTCACCTGACTAGATTGGACCTGCCTGAATAATTCAATATACTCTCTCTACTGTAAAGGCCTTAATAAAATGTATCACTATCACATCTGCAAAGTCCTTTTGCTAGATAATGTTGCAGAATATTTTACAGTGTGTGAAGATATGTCACTGAGATTGGTTTAATAAGGAGCTGAATGGCCAGTAACTAGGCAGGAAAAGGTTAGGCAGAACTTCTGGGGACAGAGAGGATTCTGGGAAGAAGAAAAGTGGAGTCTCCAGCCAGATATGGAGGAAACAGCATGGACGGTACAGAGAGATGAAGTAAAGAGCCACACCACAGAACACAGATGAAAATAAATGGGTTAATTTAAATTATAAGAGCTAGGGGGACAAGCCTAAGCTAAGGCCAAGATTTCATAATTAATAGTAAGTCTCTGTATTGTTATGTTTTTGTGAGCTGGTGGCCCAAAGTCTGCTACAAGGTAACACAGTCACAGGTTCTGGCAGTAGCACAGGGACCTTTGATAGCCATGCTGGTATTCTTATCACACTCTGACAGCTCAGAGAGCTCCTTGCTACCTTACCATCAAAGCTTCACCGCCATCCTGGGCTCTCCTGGCTCGTGGTCTAACTTTCCCACTAGCTATTGCATTCTTTTTTTTCCCAACAACAAAGCTCTTACTATCCTAAATTGTAACAGCTGGTTAAACATTGTTTTCTTTGTGGTGTTTAAGTTCTACAAGAGCAGAGTCAAGGTTTGCCTCCGCCCTCCCCTAAACAGCCTTCGTGTCTAGCATAGGACCCGACACAATAATATGCCAGGGGAGGAAAACTCTTCTGTGGCACATGGTTCTCCTTGCTAAATTACATTCTGGTCATGCGACTATCCCTCCATCCAGGAACCCCAATCCCTTAAAGCCTAAGAGACACTTAGCTAAAGAAACTGGTACCCAGAGAGGGAAGGCGTGGTCTCTGGGGTAACACAGGTGATTTCTTCCCTGAAGGGCTGAGGCCAAAGCTCAGTTGTCCTCACTGTAGTGGCCCTGGGCTCTGATGACTGCACTTTGCTTCACTGTCTCAATTTGCCAGGTCTTTAGAGCCAGTGTAGGCTAATGAGGCACAGCCCCCTGCAGACCACACCTACTAACCCTGTTTTATTCTCCCTAGGTTGTTGTCTTAGTGTGTGTGTGTGGGGGGGGGGGGTAATAGTGACTGGGTCCTTTAGTTCCCTGTAAAACATGTGGCTCTTTAAATATTTTCAGACTGTAAATAAGCACAATCAACCTTGATCTTGTTTTTAAATTGTTATTGTTGTTACTAGCTTCATTTCCAAAAGGCTTTCCCTGAAACAGGAAGATAGTATAACGCGAGGAAGAACAAAGCACTCTGGGAGGAGTTGGCAGGACCCTCCGAGATAGATATTCGGTTCTCTGTAGGAAAGGCAGACAGTCCCTTTTCTTGCTAGGTCCTGGTAGAGAAATGTCTTCCTCTCCCTAGAGTGGGAGCCTCCAGGACCAGGCGAAGGTGGGACTTGTTGTCTTGACGACTAGCGAGGTGGGGCTGAGCGGCGGCTCTAGCAGCCAATAGAAACTGGAGGGGTGGGGCTTGCTGGTCTGTGGAGGCTGCGGCGGAGCTTGCAGGTTGGTGGACCGCGCTTTGGGGGAGGGGTGCCGGGGGTCGCAGGGACACTGGGGGTTCCCGGCCGCCCCAAATCCTTAGGCAGGGTGTGCAGTGCCCTTGGCAGTCGGAATCGGGGCTTTTCGTTGGTCCCGAGCGGCGCTACGGGGGCAGTGGAGGCAGAGAGGTGGGAGGCGAGGGTAGGAGCGGGGCCTGCTGGTGACGGGATCTGGGGGCTCCGGGAGGCTGTAACCCCAGAAGACTCCCGCTGCTCGTGCACGGGAAGCTCCTGAGAGCTGGACTTGGGGAGCGAAAGGTTTAGAAGGCCCAGGAATCCTGGAACTCAGCCCCCTTGCGTCGTCTGGCAAAGCTGTAATGGGGCCGAGCTGTGTTGTGACCACCTTCCCTTCTTCCGACTCCATGTTTCTTTTTATCCCCCTAGGCGTCTAGTCTTGCTGGCTCAGCAAGCCTGATAAGCATGAAGCTGCTGTGTTTGGTGGCTGTGGTGGGGAGCTTGCTGGTGCCCCCAGCTCAAGCCAACAAGGTGAGGGAGGTGAGCCAGCAGCACCTTGTTGCTCTAGCACCGGGCCTGCGGGGCTTTCGCAGCACCACTCTTTGCCCCTCACCCACCCGAGGACCACACTTGGAGGACCTTACCTGGGGCAAGCTGCAGACCTTCCCTAGGGATGTAGGGAACACAGGGTTTGGAGCACCACACCGCACAGGTTTCAGACCAGACTGGCCCTCGGCGGAATTCCCCACAAGCAAGAAAGTTTGTTTAGAGCAGTTACCCAAGTTCTCCATGTCTTCCTTTGCCCTAAGTAAAAACAGCTGTGTTCGAATCTGCTGCTCTATTTGGGGATAATCAAATCACATAACGTTGTAAAGTGCTCTCTGAGTGTAAAGGCATGCACAGATGGTGGTTTCTGCTTCCAGCTGACACAGCTTCGTGGTACACTCCTGAGATTGCTCCCATTCCTTAGGGCTGGAGGACCAGCAGCTGGGTTTGGATGCTCTCTCTTTGTAACAGAGGTCCTATGGCTTTAGATTCTGAGGGTCACCAAGATATTGAGTAGCAGGGCTTGCTTCTTTGCCCTGAAGGAATTCCTGGAGGGAGCCTGCCCATGGAAACACCCACTTTTCTTTATTCAACCCTTCCTCCATCCTAACCTAGGGAGTTAAGACAGATTTGGGGGGAATTCTGGCCCACCTACCCCACCAGACAGAAAATACACAAGTGTGGACCTCAGGGTTGAGGCCTGTCACTTTGCTTGCTGTATGTCCTGCCTCAGGCAACTTCTGTTTCTTTTGATACCAGAGAGGTTCCTATCTTGAGGCCCCTGTGATGTGGCAGCCTTCCTATAGAGATAGTCCTCCTTGAATTGGGGATGGGAAAATTCAAAAGCATATATATGTACCTCACAGAACAGGACACAAAACTGAAGTGTGCTAGCCTGCCCAGAATCTGAACCCAGGCAGGGTCTTTCCTGCTATTTACTCTTTGTCTTTCTTCCAGAGCTCTGAGGATATCCGGTGCAAATGCATTTGTCCACCTTACAGAAACATCAGTGGTCACATTTACAACCAGAATGTGTCTCAGAAGGACTGGTAAGGCAGTGTAAATGGCTGGCCCTTGGCACAATCACCTGGCTGAAATGATCAGGGCTTTCCTAGACTTCCTATTCTAGAGATAAATTACCCATTTCTGTGGAGTGCCTGCAAAAGAATATTTTGTCCTTAACCATTTGATAACAAAACCCAGGGATCTTGAATTACAGCTTGGGGGGGGGGTGGATTTTGTTTTCGATTTCAGTTGATGTGAAGAGTGGTGGTAGATAAGTGGGAGGGGCAGGTGTACATAGTATATACCTCAGTGCTTTTGCAAACCTGTGTGCTTTGCTGGGTTCATAGCAACCTTCTAATGTAAATAGAGTAGATGCTGTTCCCATTTTATAATTGCATAGACTCAGGTCCAAACAAAGATCTTACGTTGTGCTCCTTGTGTCTCTGGTCTTGAATTCATTTCTTAGCCCCTTACTTAAAAAAGCATAAATAACCAAGAATCCATTCAGGTAAAGAATGTGAAAGTGAAAGGAAGAATAAATACTGTGTTCTAGAAGGAATAGTTTAAAGAACTAGAATCTCCCTGAAAAGGGAGAGACCTGGGGACATTCCGTGGATGTTCAAGATTGGGAGAACAGCTGCTGAGGGGAAGGGGCATTTGGGATTGGAACCAGGAAGACTTGGGATGATCGCATAGTGTAGACGGAAGGCCAGTGGATGGGATGACAGCTTCAGGGAGTCAGCCTCAGTGTGAGTGAGGGAAACATTGCCAGTGCTGGAAGGATGGGAAGCTTCATCCTTGAAGACATCACAGGGTAAGGTCAAGGTGTATGCAGTGAATGGGGGTGGGGGCCAAGGTTGCTACTACCTGTGCATCAGGGAATCACTAGGTGCGCTTTAAGAAAATTTGCAGTTCCGACAGTCTCCTGCCAAGATTTTGATTCAGCAAATATGGTAGCATCTGTCAGAAGAGTAACCTTTGCTTGGAGTCCTTGAGGTGCTCATGATGCCATTGATCCAGAGCACATTTGAGAGTTTTCAGATTCGTAGCAGTTGAATTTTCTGAAAGCCAGTGTTTGTGCATGTTTAGACTCTGGATCCAACTTTTCTGGACCCAAGTCTAGCTTTGTCATTTGTTCATCGTGATTTAGATTACTTAATCCCCACTGTACTTTGGTTTACTTTCTTAATTTTTATGTATATATTTATGTATTGGTGGATGTGTTTGCCCACTTGTCAGGTCACTATGTGTATACAGTGCCTGTGGAGGCCAAAAGAAGGCATCAGATCCCTTGGAAGGGGAAGTTTTAAACAGTGGTGCTGGGATCAAACCCAGGTCCTTTGAGAGAATACCCAGTGGTCTCAAACACTGAGCCATCTCTCCAGCCTCACAATGATTTCCTTATGAGTAAAGCATGGTATTACTTTGAGTATGAAGTGTTCGTGTTTATGTAAATTTATATAGCACTTAGAGTGATACCTGCACATGCTAAGTGCTATATAAATGTTAGCTGATAATAATAATAATAATAATAATAATAATGTATTATTATTCCTTCCTAGAGGTTATATAGTCAAATTTATGCTATAGCCCTGGAAAACATGGCCTTCTTCTAAAACACTAGTCTCATTCTTGTACTTTGATTGACCTGATGATCCTAAAATAGTGGAGGTCTGGGAGGGACCCCAGCGGCTTCCAGTCATCAGCAGGGACACTACACTGACTCGACTTCCTTCACACAGGCAGATTCTGCTACTGGCAAATTTTAGCCACACTGTCTTGGGGGTTATAAGATGTCCTGGAAACATAATGCTTGACGAGAGGATGGGGTCTGGCCTAAGCCTTTCAAGCTGCAGTTTGTCCCTTCCCTTTGGAGGAAGACTTGGGGGCTGTTGGTGAGCAGTCTCACATGGAGAACCTATGGCACAGCATGTCAGGTAGACTCGGATGCTTGGAGGTGAGACCCCAGGATTTTAGGGCCCAACAGCACTGATCTGCGTGAGAGCCACCACATATTTATTTACTCGGCACCCCTTGGTAGAGTGGGGATTGACATTGGTCCTAGCATCTTAGTGGTAGGGCTAGAGTTAGAGATATCTGAGTCTTCAGGTCCTGAGTCCCAAGGGTCTCCTGCTGGTGTTCAGATTGAGGTCAGCACCCAGTGTCATAGCTGTGTTGTGTATTCTTGTATTTCTGGCATTCTGCCATCCAGTATTGAAAGTATATAATCACAGGCATATAAAAAGGCCCTCTCGGTGGGTTTGTTAAATATCTCACAGACAAGTCCCAAGGCTGACTTGTTAAAGTAGGATCCTTCTACAAACACAGTCTTGTCAGGGATCACACGCTGTGTGAGGTGTGAAATCAGAACTTCACTGACTGAGTGGTCCTGCAAACCCTTCCTTACCCACCACCTGCCTCCTACACAGCACTTCTAATGCTACCCAAAAGGGCACAGTTTGAAAGACACCAATCAAGCTTAGCTTCCATTATCAATGAAGAAACAGGCCAGAGAGGTTAAGTAAGTCACCTGACATCACAGTCTAAGTAGAAGAGTGGAGAATTGTACCCAGCTTGTCTTTCTCCTTCTTGTTCTTCCTGAAATGTTTCCTGCCCGGTCCCTTTCTTAGGAAGGAAAACTTTCTTAGGGAAACAAGAAAGTATGTAGGGTTTTAGGGAAACAAGAAAGATGTAGGGTTTCAGTGACTCCCTAGAGAACCAAAAAGGATGGTTCCCATATTACTGTTTCCCATATCCCCTTGCTGACTATTTCCCTCAGTTTCAGGGTCCCAAATTGAAGAACTAAAGATGGAATTCTAACACTACATTTTGGACGTGTAGGGGCATTCACAGTGCCTATTGTAGCCATGGAGTAGCCTTTCTGATCCAGAGCCCCACGTGGCTCAGGAAAGGGAGGACTCTGCCCCCAAGAGGCTTAATTGCTAGAGAAGGGAGGGTGGCATTCACTCTGGGCAGGAACGATGAGAGATCAATGTTTTAGTTTTTAGACACAGTCTCAAAAAATTCAGGACAGCCTTGAACTCAAGATTCCCTGGCCTTAGTTTCCTGAGCACTAGGATTACAGGTGTGCATCATAGTGTTTAGCTCATGATGAACAATGGAAACTAGCCTTGTCTGTGAGTGATTCCCAGAGAAGGTGACATGCAGGGCCTAGAGGCAGTACCCTGAAGAACAGCAAGGAGACACCTACTGCTGTAGGAGATAGATTGTTAGAGCTGCTACCCAGAGGTGGAACCAGGATCTTCAGGGGTCTAGAGAACTGATGGGGGCCACATACTAGCCTTAAAAAGAAATAGAGTCTTTGAAAGGACCTTCCACTCTTATGCCAATGCGTGTTCTTGAGTATCCTTGGGGCCTCTCAGAAACTCAGCCCGACAGCTTGACTGGCAGGTAACTATCAGGCCTGATTATATTCAGGAAGCCATTTTTGACTTCTGCAGAACATTTATTAGTACTGGAAGAACCTTTTTAAAGTGACTTGGGTCTTCATGTGTTAACCACAGCATCTCACACAAGGGGAGAGGGGACACACAGTGACAGGTGGGCTAACTACCCACTGTAACAGGATGCCTGGTTCACCTTTTTGAACCTCTGAGGGGTTTATTTTCTTCCCAGTTAGAGTGGTTTTCCTTTAAGGTCTTTTGGTTAGAAACCTGCAGATCCAAGGAAGTCCAGGAATGAGGCCCAACTGCACAGACAGGCTCAAGCCTGGCTGAGACGGAGTCAACCACACTTGGTGGCCAAAGCCTCACAAGCATGGTGGAGCTGCCACTTTTTCTGTCCTGGACTTGTTTCCCTCATTTCAATGCAAAACCTGCCCACATTGCTGAGGGGCACTGCTGGTGACATGGGCAATGGGAACTCACTCTTAGCATTTGGCACTCACTCACTGAGCCCTGGCCAGTACCATGCTCAACACAAGGGATATGGAGACATGTAAGATATAACTTCTGTTTTTGTGGGACTTTATATATACTGGATGGAGTAGTACAAATCAAGGATTAGGAGCTGTGTGGTGGGGATGAGGCAGGGGAACTGGCAGTATGGATGGAAGGTCAGGCCTTAGGGTTGAATCATCTGTGTGGAGAAGGATATTCATGGAGCCACACAGTCCAAGCTTCATGTGACTCCCTTGAGACTAGTCCACAGGTCAGTCTGGCTCTAAGATGGGGTAGGGAGAGTGGCAGTTTAGGCTGTGGATTGGACCTGAGAGAGGCTGTGAAGACCTGATAGAACAGTTCGTTTGCCTGGGCCTTGGATGAGCTGTGGAGGCACCAGTTGGTTTTAAGTGAAAAATGATATGACAGGAGTTCCACTTGGGTATGGCCACTTGGTACTGTCACTTGGCCACCATGGGAAGGTAGTTCTAGGCAGGACTAAAGAGGGGACTTTGCCAGGGAAAGATCATGAGAACTTCAGCTGAGATGTACCGGTGAGAGGGAATAGAGAATGTAGATTTTAGACATTTTTAGGGTGTAAATCCTGTAGATTTGCAAGTGAAGAAAAAGTACTGTTAAAGACAACTCCCAGGTTTGACTTGACTGGCAGAAAAGGTACTGCAAGTTTCTTCTCTGCTACTCCCATCTCAGAAGTACAGATCCCACAGCCAGTGTGCAAGACTGAGGACCAGGGGCCTATGTGGCATTTATGGCTCCAGTGGGGCAGCCAGGTGGTGATCGCAGTCATCAATGGACCTAAAAAGTCCAGTCATAATAGGATAGAAGGCCTGCTGAGAGATTGAGATTGGAGACCCCTGAGTTGAGTGCAACCTGCTGGAACAGATGATGCCACCAGGGAAAGCAGCACAAAAGGAGAAGGCAGCTGAGCATGGGCCTTAGGACCATCGATGAGTATGGTGCTAGCTCCAATGGACAGACCGTTGGCTGGGAAAGGGGTTCTGCCCTTCCTGGGAGTGCCTGTCTATGGCCTTTCCTACCCCTTCAGCACCCTGCCACCTGCTTGCTGGACCTCAAGGCCCTTTGTCAACCCTGCCTGTTTGTGTTGCAGCAACTGCCTGCATGTGGTGGAGCCCATGCCAGTGCCTGGCCACGATGTGGAAGCCTACTGCCTGCTTTGCGAGTGCAGGTACGAGGAACGGAGCACCACCACCATCAAGGTATGCTGGGGTTTGGGGGCTGTATGCATGCATGTGCCCTGTCCCATGGTTTTTTTTGTTTGTTTGGTTGGTTTTTTTTTGTTTTTTGGTTTTTTTTGTTAACATTCCAAAGCCAGTATGCAGAGATGGGACCTGGTTCCTACACCTTTGCGCGAGAGGGTGAGGGATGGGCTCTCTGGCATCTCCGTGCAGTGAGAATTAAGAACTTAGAGTTTCGGGCTGGAGAGATGGCTCAGAGGTTAAGAGCACCGACTGCTCTTCCAGAGGTCCTGAGTCCAATTCCCAGCAACCACATGGTGGCTCACAACCATCCCTTATGAGATCTGGTGCCCTCTTCTGGTGTGCAGATATATACATGGAAGCAGAATGTTATATACATATTAAATAAATGAAATCTTAAAAAAAAAAAAAGAAGAAAGTTCATGTTGTTAAAAAAAAAAAAAAGGACTTAGAGTTTCTTGATACTCCATTAACCCTCTAGAGAGACAGGACTGAGTACATGTCAGGGTGCCTGACTATCTGGGTATGATGCACGGTGCTGGGACTAGAAATGGACTCCTAGGGAGGTTGCAGGTTATCCAAGATCAGTCATCTTCTTGTAGAAAGCCTCCATGACCACATGAGGTACTGGGCATCAGACTCCAGTCTACTTTTTCCTGAACCTCATCCTTGTTAACCGTCTGGGTGAATTGAAGACAGAAGTGATAAATATGGCCGCCCTAAGGGGAATGAAGAAGGGTGCCACAAAGCCCTTGTCCATCCTTCTGTCACTAGACAGGCAGGACTCATCAGACCTTGTCTAGAGGCCATGAAGCTAACCCTCTTAAGCTTGTCCTCTGACAAGTTGAGAAATCGCATCAGAAATAATTCAAATATACCAAATCCTCCCTTGGGCTCTTGCTTTTGAGGTGTGTTTAAAAGGCAGGTAGTCGGGCTGGAGAGATGGCTCAGAGGATAAGAGCACCGACTGCTCTTCCAGAGGTCCTGTGTTCAATTCCCAGCAACCACATGGTGGCTCACAACCATCCCTTATGAGATCTGGTGCCCTCTTCTGGTGTGCAGATATACATGGAAGCAGAATCTTGTATACATAATAAATAAATAAAATCTTAAAAAAAAAAAGGGCAGGTAGTCTTCACAGTGTGCCTTGTCTGGACTGTAATTCCCTATATTCCCCTCCCCCTTTAGGTAAAATAGCTGTCTGCCCTCCCTAGCCCTGTCAGCCTGTGCAGATTGAACTCTGCTCACTCTCCTGCCTGGGGCAGCCTCTCCTGAGCCAGTGCCCTCCCTGATTCTGAATTACCTTTCTAGGTCCCACCCTCCAGAGACCATCTAGATGCCCAAGTTTAGAGCCTGGTGTTGCTGCCTCCCTGTGTGAAAGAGAAGGTGCTTCCAGCATGGAACATATGAGCACAAACTCACAATCTCTCACATTTCGTTCCACCTAGGAGCCCCAAGCACATGTGTAGTCTGTCTTCTTGCCCCATTTTGGCTGTAAGCAACAGTTCTGAGTGTCTGCCCTGTTAAAGGGGCCTGAACACAGCTACTGCTGCCCCAGTTCAGAAGGAAGTGAATCCAGCTGCGCTTGGCTTTTGATAAAGCTGAGGATCAAGCTAAATGGTCTAAGATTCTCCTTTTTCTGTGTGTATCCATGTATGTGTGGAGGCTGGGGGTAAACTTTGGGTGTCTTCCTGAATTGCTTTCTGCCTTGTCTTTTGAGACAACCTGGAGCTTACCATTTCAGCTGATGAGCTGGCCAGCAAGCCCTGTCTCTACTCCCCAGGCACATACCATCATGCTTGGTTTTTTTGCTCTGTTTTGTTTTTTTATGTGGGTGTTGGGGAATTAAACTTGTATCCTCATGCTTACACAGCAAGCACTTTCCTGACATCTTCCCAGCCCCCATAGTTGGTTGGTTTGTTTTAAACCCCTTTTTACAGTCAGGGCTATCACTGGGATCAGAAATCAGCAATGACTAGGCGTTTTAGGGGGTAGAAAAAGCATTTGAGGTGGAGTCAGCAAAGTTGGGCCTAGTGTCATCTCTACCATTTACTAGCCTTGCGGTCCTGGGTGAATTCTTTGGCCTTGTGGTTCCAGTGTGGTGATCACAGCCACTTTGGCTGAGTGAAGGTGCTTCCATGGTCCTAACAACTGAGGGATTAGTGACAGGATAGAGAGACCATGAGTGCTGAATGTCATGTAGGGACTCCACTAAATGTCATGGAGTATCCATACTTCACACTGAATTATTAGTCTTTTTGAATCTGCCATTTATTTGGGTTTTTCAAGGTTTCTCTGTGTAGCTTTGGAGCCTGTCTTGGAACTCACTCTGTAGATCAAGCTGGCCTCAAACTCACAGAGATCTGCCTGCCTCTGCCTCCAGAATACCAGGATCAAAGGCATGCACCATTACCACCAAGCCTTTAATTTTTTAAATTCAACTTTTATGTCTTTAAGCCTGGTGGTGGTGGCACACACCTTTAATGCCAGCACTCAGGAAGCAGAGGCAGGCAGATATTGGTGAGTTTGGCACCAGCCTGGTCTACAGAGTGAGTTCCAGGACAGCCAGTGCTACACAGAGAAACACTGTCCCAAACAACAAAAATAAACAAAATTATGTCTTTATTTGATAGATGTGCATGTGTCATAGCACACATGTGGAGGTCATAGAACAACTTATGAGAGTCAGTTCTCTCCACCATGTAGGCCCCAGAGATCAAACTCAGTCATCAAGCTTGGGGGCAGGAACCTTTATCTGCTGAGCCATCTCGCTGGCCTGGATCTGTCCTTTCCACGAGACACAATTACCCTAGCTTAGGAGGCTCCATATGTGGGAGGTGGGTGAAGTAGTCATCTTAACATGCTTCCCCCACCCTCAGCCCTCGGGGTATCACCTCTTGCTGTTCTCCCATCCCTGCATAATGACGTACTATGCGTGGACCCGCACACCCTCTCAGGACACAAGCTGTCCCACTCCTGTCTTGCACCCACAGTGAACCCAGCCTGAGATCCCCGGCTTACAGTTCTTGTCTCTACTCTGGTTTTCTCAGCTGGTCCTTGCTCTACTTTCTCATGAGTCTCTGCTCCTTGGTATAGGCTCTTGTTTAGCCAGCTGACCCTTGCTTCTCATCTCATTTTAGAGCCAGCTTGGGTGTCCAGCAGCAGGCTGCTTCTTCTGTCATCTTGGTTCCTGCTGGAATGTTCCTTGTCATGGAACTGTCTTGGGCTAGCCTAGAGCCTGTGGTGTGGGCCGTTTCCCCTTCCTTCCAGGTCCATACCCCCTCTTAGTACCAATGTCTAACTTGATGGTCACCCGCAGCCAGCATGAATGTAAGACTAGAAATGGGGTCCTGATCTGAATGCTGGATCACAGAATAAGGCTGATGTCTTCCTTAGGTCATCATTGTCATCTACCTGTCTGTGGTAGGGGCCCTCCTCCTCTACATGGCCTTCCTGATGCTGGTGGACCCCTTGATTCGAAAGCCGGATGCTTACACTGAGCAGCTGCACAATGAAGAGGAAAATGAGGTAACCATGGCCCGGAGTTCCCAGCATGTGTGTCTCGAGGCGAAGCCTTAAAGTAGGGGTGCCCCTCCTTCCTGCCCCTGCCATCTTCAGGTTGCTTTTCCCTGTCCATTTTCCCATACTTCACCAAGATAGGGCAGCAAATTGCCCTTTGCCCTTCCAGATGTAGTAGGTGGTGGCCCTGAACTTACCTGGCAGCTGGTACCTGGCACCTGGTCAATACATGGCGTTACTAAGCTGGGCCTAGGAGCGGGGGAGGAGGGTGGTCCCCCCCTCCGGAGCCTCTTGCATGTAGGTACACATGATACGATGCTGCTGACAAGTATATGGAAGACTTGGAGGCTGCAGGTTTATGCTTTTGTTCAGGGATTCTACAAACATCTGTCAAGTGCTTGCTCACTTCAAAGCGTGGCCCTGGGGGCTGGAGGCAGAAGCTGAATCTCAGAAGCCAGAGGGGCCAGGTGGGCGGTGCCCCAGCATCACCATGTACAAATGCAGAATTTGGATTTCTTAGGCTAGGATAGGTACTAGAAGTGGTGGCAAGTAGAGCTGGCCAGGAAGTTCAGCCAGATTAGTGAAGGCAGTAAATATCAAACTAAAGGGGTTTGACTTTATATGATAAGGAAATGGGAACCACTGTACCAGGCTGGCTACATACCTGTCCCAGGGACAAGGTCCCTGAGCTCTGTCCCTGTGGCCTAGATACTACATGGTACAGGAACCTAGGTATGTCCAAATGAGCGCATGGTGGGAATGCGCCTCAGCCATGTCAGCTGATACCTGGAAGAGTACCTTAAAGAACCGGAAGATGGCTGGCTAGCTTAAAAAAGAAAAAGAAAAAGAAAAAAAAAAAAGGCAGAACATGCCTGCTGCCGTCAGTTTTTGATAGAGAAGAGCTTGGCCCAGGGGACAGAAGGGCCTACAGGTTGGAATGGGAGATTTAAGAGGACCGTGTCGGGAATGTTCTGACGCAGTTGAATGATAACGAGGAGGGCTCCCTTTTAATGTAGTGAGTTGTGGGTCACTGGAGGTGACCAGGCCTAGGCAAAGCTGCACTAGGCAATTACAGTTTTAGAGGTTTTAAAGTTCTGGATTGGAGACAAGAAAAGGCAAGTTCAAATCCAAAGTGAGGGCACCGAGACTCGGGTCTGTGTGAAGCTTCCCATGTGGTAGGATCTAGGCCAGCCCAGACCAGGAGGATAAGGACAGTCTGGGAGGCACAGGGAACTTGCCACTCCCACCAGCCTCCTGCTGGCATGGATTTGGCCAAAGGTGGAGCAGAGGTGAGGAGCCTCATCCCCCTGGAGGTGGGGCTAGGGAGGTGGTGGCCCTGACAGTTGGGTGGTCTGTGCTTGAGAGGAAAGCTTGCTTGCCTACCCAGTTATTAATGTAGGTAATAGCAGCTCTGATAGGAGAGAGCATCACTAATAAACATGGGGCGATTAGGGGTAATGTGGTAATTGCAGTCCTGGCCGGGGAATAATTGAGAGATGCAGCCGATGATTACACAGCTTGCGCCATGATTCCCTAGGAATGCATGGCTCTTGGGCATGGCCTTGCCATGTCTCCTGCCATCCTAGATATGGAGCCAGGAGAAGGGTAGTTTGCCGTCTCTACGTCTGCGCCTAGGCCTCTCTCCTCCTCGCTTGGAGCCTATGTGTGGGGAGCCTTGAGGATGTGGTCAGGTCCCGGGAACAGGACCTGAATTAGAGTAGCTTCTTCTGCCTGCACTTTGGCCTGGTGGGAAGGATTCTCTATGAAGGATTGCTCTCTAGCCGTATAAGGGCTGCAGCGGGCTGTCACTGGCAGCCTTAAGGCAGAGCTTATGAGTTCATTTTCTGTCTGTAGAGAACAGGCAGGAGGATACCTGCCCTGCCGCCTCCTACCCAAGGCTTCTAATACATAGAGCATTGTATTTAGTTTCTTGGAGGCTCTGACCTGAAGTCAGCTTGCTCTGGTTGGTCCAACACATAGGATTTGGGGTGGGGATGGATGCACAGGATTAGTTTCAGGATGAGTACCCTCAAAATGAACAGAAAATACAGTGTTCTCATTACATGGCATCCCTGTTCCACCTCCTGACTTCCTGTTATTCTGCATAGCGTCCAGGCATAGGTGCCTGTGGCTCAGCGGCTCCCATCCTCTCCCACTGTGTTCTGAAATCCTACAGGCAATACTGTGGGGAGATTTGGCCTGTCCACAGCCCCAAGACAGCCAAAACCAGTTGCATGGGCCAGTGCCACACAAGCAGGCAGTTAAGATGACTTTGTGGTATGACAGTCTTTCTGAAGCTGGGTACCTTGGGAAAATCCTCTTTAAGGTCTGGTAAAACAGGACATCTTTAGTAAAAGAGGTCTCTGCGTTAGGAGGGCTGGCTTCCTAGCAGAGAGGGACTTTGAATGCAGCTCAGAGGGCTGGTGGGAGAGGGAGTTCTGTACCTTGTCAGGGAGGATGGTGGGCCCTGAGCTGGAAATGGCTTAAGGGTGCCTTCTTACAGGGACGTTTGACAACTCTAGTCCTGGATGGTGAGAGACTGTCTACTGCCCCCACAGTCTGCATGGGAGGAAGGTCCCCATGGTTGCCTCCTGAGCGACTACAAAGCCAGGGCCTTGGCTGTGTCTCTGGGCTGACTAGTATCCTGGACAGTATTTCCCTAAGGAGGCCTCCCCTGACCCAGAGGGACTTTAACTTTCAGCTCAAAAAAGAGAAAGTTGGAGTGAGCCCTGGGGGGGAGAGGGGGAGAGGGGGGTCCTTGAAAGGTCATGTGAACTTATACAGCCAATGGCCTCAGAAAGAAGAGTGTTCTCAGGGGCTTCCCTTCCCCTCTCCCAGGAGCCTGGCACCTATGCACAGGTGAGATTTGATAGCCAGAATCTTTGTCAGGATTAGGGGCTCCTTGGCTCCCTCACCTCCAATTCTGTAGGTAGGAGCTCTTCTGCTAGGGGTAGGAAGCCTGGCAAAGAAAGGGAGGCATCCCCCCATAGCACAGCCCTGTCCACAGAGGAGATGAAAGCCTGCTGTGTTCCCTTTGAAAATGCTGGCAGAGCCTCAGTGGGCCTGGCTGCTGGGCGCTGCCTCCCCGGATTCCAGTGGCATTAGGCCTAATCCCTGGGCTCAGACGCCCTTTGAAAAGAGGAAGCCAGTATGTTTGTGGGGACAGAAATGGCAACAGAGCTGTTTTAGATGTACAGAACTGGTCCCCTTTGAAGAGGGAGAAATGAGGGTTTCTCTGTGGCTCTAGCTGTCTCCGCCACTCACCCCTGAGCTCTGACAGGGTCTTCAAAGTTCTCACCCCAGTGTGGGGGCCGTGGATAGAGTTAGTTCTGAGATCTGTGGGAGGGAGTGTACAAGGAAAACAAAAACCAAGAATAAGGATGGTGGGAACTATGGACATAGAGGGCTAGACTAAGAGGAGACCAGGGTTTCTGAAGAAGGGCCTATCTTCTGTTCACAGATGGTTGCGTGGGATGTGCTGAGAACCCTAGGCCCCCGGGGTCTGGAAAACTTTGGTGCGAGCTGTTCCAGTGGCCCTCACCCTGATGATAGAATAGAATAGGAAAATGGCTGTTCAAGAGATGCTTCTAGAACATCTTGGGGCTGCACTGCACAGCACTTGAGGGTAGCCCTAGTTGGGGTCCCACTCTTCTACTCACTGTCCTTGCTACTGATCTCAGGGAGTAGTTTTCTATACCTGGAGTAGACACAGTAGCTCTTACCTCAGTGTCAGTGTTGGGATCAGGCACTGAAGGCTGTTGCAGGAACTTGAGTGTTCTTGCCTGGAGAGATGGGCCTCTGGCCACAAGTCACCTGCTGCCACTTGTCTTTGATCTAACCGGAGTGAGTTGTTCCTGCTCTTTTGGTTGTCCATATGATTTCCTCTTGGGAAAAACCAGCCAAAGACAGATAGCTACTGAGTCCTAAGACAGGAAATACAGTGTGTGTGCAAATTTCAACATGGTCCCACGCAGCCATGTGACCTTGGGTACAAGATGATTCCTCCTTCAGAGTCTAAGTTGCTTTGTTCACAGTGGAGGTGACATTAACTGTTTGCCAGTAGATGACCCCACAAGTAAGCCCTGTGAAGTGACTGAGAAAGCATGGTATATGGTGGTGTATGCCTGCCAGGGTCACATTGGTCTGGTTACCTGGGGACCTCTTGGGAATCATGCATATCCATTTACCACTGCGTGTGGGGGGTTGGGTGGGAGTGGGGCTCCACCCCCCCAACCGTCCCCTGCATTCCTCAGACCCAGCCCTGAAGGGAGAAGGCATAGAGGTGATGACTTCCTTGCCCCACACCCACCCACCACAATCACCTGTCAGCCTACTGCTGAGCAGGCAGGAGTAAGGCCCTCTGTGGGTCTTTTCTTGGGAATAGATATGGATGCTCTAATACCTTTCAGTCAGACTGTTAGCCATGGGGACGCGGAGCCTCTTGACAGCAGCTTTCCCCCACTTGGAAGTGGTTGGTTGAGACGTCGTATGGGCACCCACAATTGGAACTGTGGTAGTGCAGTGAGCTGTAACCCACTCCCTTAATGCCCTGCTCTGGCTCTGTCCTGGCTCCCATTTCCTCAGACAACCCAAGAGCAGAGCTGCAGCCTTCCCACCGTCCCCGATCTATCCCAGATGAGCCTAGTCCTGCTCTCCCGGTTTTACATCCAGACACTGATTTGCCAGAGCCCTCCAGAGCAACACTGGTCCTAGAATGGACAAGAGTATGAGTGGGGAGGAAAGCAGCCCCTCATGCCCCCACATCTGGTTTGGGGTCTTGGTAGGCCAGGTGTTTCCTAGGCTGGTCGCCCTTTGGTGCCCACTCCAACCTCACATCCATGCTAAGACCAATTTGAGCCAAGCTGTGTTCTTATGGCCACTCAGGCAGTGCAGGCAGCCTGAGGAGGAACAGAGTTAGGTGTTGGCCATGGTGACTCTTAGAGGCAGCTGCTCTGACAGAAGTCTGCCTGCTTTAACTCCTTCCCCTGCCCATTTTCTGATGGGCCCCTGAACCAGTATTTGAGATTCCTCACACAGAACTTGAATGTTTACTATGTCCAGAAGCTGACAAAGTTTCTGCATTCTGTGTCGTTGAGACTGCCTCGGTGTCCCTCTTGTGTGTAGAGACATTGGTTCTGAGAGGTGACTCACCTAAGGTCATGTATCTGGTAGGGACCAAAGCCAGGTTTGTTTAAGTCGGCAGCACTATGCTGAACTCCCAGAGAGGCCACTTATGCCCTCGTTCTGTGCTTGCCAGTTCATTTGACATATGGATCTCCCTGTGACACGCACATCCGTTAGTCATACCATGGTGTTCAAGCACATTCGGTTACTAAAGGGGTTTTATGAGACATGGCTAGGATTTTTGTCTGGGTTTGCTTTTTGGGTTTAGCATGCTGCTACAACCTTATGTGTGCTAGGCAAGTGTTTTATTTACTGCTCAGACCCATCCCCAGCTCCTTAAACATGGGTTATCCTGGGGCAGCATCTCACTAAGTTGTCCCTACCAGCCTTAAACTTGCTATCCTCCTGTTTCCACTCCCTAAGTAGCTGGCATTACAGGCCTGGGCCTCACCTGGCCTGACAATGATGCCCCACTCAGGGTCTTGGGCAGGGATTCCCAGGGACTCTAAGTCACCTTAGAAACAAGTGAGCGCAAGACAAACTGTGCTTCACTGGTAAGACTATCCCATCCCTTTGCAAGCCAGCCACCTCTCCCTCTGCACTGCCAGCTCGGCTATACCTTCGGGCTCCGCCCTGCTCTCCAGCCTGGCAGCCATGTGGCGACAGAAGCTATGCCAGCTCGGGGCATTAGAAGTAAAGTTGCATTTACTGGGCGGCTCTGGGCTTAGAGGGGTGCACTAATCCTTTAAGAGACATGTGGCAGGAGATGAGAGGCGGAGAGAGCTGGAGAGGAAATCCCCATGGGCTGTGGGCCTGGCCCTCGGCTCTAATTCTCCCCCAAAGATCAGCTTTGGGTCCTGCAGGAAATGCATGGGCTCTGGAGCTTCAGAGGCAGAGGGGTAATAATTAAGGGAAGACTGACGACAGAAGTGAAGTGGGTCTCAGAGCAAAGGGGAAGGGGGAACGGGGAGACAGGCTAAGGAGGAGCAGAGCTGCCAAGCAAGCCATGGCCACAGCAGCCCTGGAAATGGGAATGCTGGGATTGAGCCCCAGATTTCCACCCCTGCCAGACTCTAAATGGTGGCCCATCTTCTCTTTTCCAGGAGGAGCAAGCTTGGGTGTGTGTGTGCGTCTGTGTGTTTGTGTGTCTGTGTCTCTGTGTTTGTGTTTGTGTGTCTGTGTCTGTGTGTGTCTATGTGTGTGCCTGTGTACCTGTGTATAGGAGTGTGTCTGTCCATCCATCCACCTGTCCGTCTGCCCAACTGCCCTCTCCAAGAGATCCTGCAGCTCCTTAACAGGCCCCTCTCCCACCTGAAAAAGAGGGAGCGATCTTAGGGTAGCCAGGCCCTGGTCCCTGACCTTCCTGTTGTCCCCTGGGCAGGAGGATAGTTAGGAGAGGGGTACATAGCTTAGTGCCAGTCCTGTGCATTGGGTACATAGCCTTGAAGCCTTGGCCTATATAAGTGAGGTCTTGAGGCCAATACCAGTACTTCTCCTGAGACTGAGAAGTGAGCCTGTGGGGTTACGATGTGACCTAGACTTGAGCCAGCTCTGCTGGAATAACTAGAGCCCCAGAAACTGCTCCTTCTGACTCTTGAAGACACTAAAGCTTTTCTGTCCAGGCACGCTGTCAAGGTCTGCAGATGACAAGGCAAGGCCCTCATGAAGCCCACAATACTTGGGGAATTCAGACTTTAAAAGTGTTCATGGGACATTTGGTTCTACACCAGACTTTAAAGATCCTCTGACCCATCCATCCTCATGCCAAATCACTTCCTTTCTCTTTCCAATGCAGGATGCACGCTCCATGGCGGCGGCAGCTGCATCCATTGGAGGACCCCGAGCAAACACTGTCCTAGAGCGAGTGGAAGGTGCTCAGCAGCGGTGGAAACTGCAAGTGCAGGAGCAGCGGAAGACAGTCTTCGATCGGCACAAGATGCTCAGTTAGATGTCTGGCACGGTTGCATCAGGGACCCAGGCCATGGCAACCAGCTTCCGGGGCTGGACAGAGCCAGTGGCCAGTTCCCTTCCCTCATTGCAGTCTTCCCTGGGTCTTCCCTTCAAAAGCCCATGGCATTTGTTCTCCTCCCTCTCTAGAAGTGTACTCGACTGTTATAACTAGGGAGAGTGATTGGGTCTCTGGTCTCTAGTATCTCTGTAGGTCTCCGGGGTGGTAGGGGAGGGAAGGCAAGGCAGAAGGGAACAGAGACATTTGAGGTAGCCACAAGACTGGGTGCAATCCACCCCTTCTTGTTCTTCTCCACTCCTCCAAGCTCCAAATCTTGGGGAATCTTTCTGCTCTTTGGGAGATGGAGCTGTGTCATCAAGAACTCTGTGGGTACCCAGCACTGAACCTGTGCTCCAGGATGCTATGATCCTCACTCCCACTTTCTCCTACTTGACCTGGCCCCAGCCTCAGGAATTGTTCTGGTGCCACTGACCCATGGTGGTCTCCAAAACCCAACTGGAAGCCTCCTTTCCTCTCCTCGGCTCCTGGTCCACCAATGCACGGCAGTGCCCAGGCATGCCAGCATAATTCCCACCACTCCTCAGTGACTGCGACTGCTGAGCCATCAGGTTGGACCATAGGATAGGGAGCTGAGCAGGGGACTTGAATACCATGGCTCCTGTCCTTGGATGACCACGTGTCCCTGAATTTCATTGTACCATGCATGGAGAGAAATGTTTGTCTTTCTGTTGTCTGTAAATCAAGGAAGCCATTAAATTGTTTTATTTCTCAAATGTTTTAGATTTCAAGGGAGATGGGTTCATAAGAAAGTGTAGTGCAAGTGATCTGGTTAGGTGTGCTGTCCCATATAGGGGGCAGAGCATTGTCCTAGGTAGGTTCCGGCAGAGGCAGAGCTTTGCAAAGCCAGGGCTGCCTCTGTCACCTGCTGGGGTACTGCCTGTGCCTGTACACACCACAAGGAGACATAGTGAGCTGGCCTCTGGAAGATGCGTTTGCTTTACCTTTGAAACGTCACAGTGCCTGCCTGATGACACTCTCATACTGTACTGGCACATAAAATGTGTTCCTTGGAAAATGTCCCAAGGCAAAACCCAGGCAGGGGAAGGACTAAGAGGGTGGTCAAGAAAAGTGTGCCCTGGCAGGAAGAGTCATTGGCTTCCAGAGTAGCCGCACGCACAGCAGAGCCCAGCCCAGTTCAGCCCAGAATGTGCGTGGTGGGAGGTGTCAGAGACTCAAGCACAGAGGTGGCACCTATAAGGAGCATTCTGTTGGATTGGAGTTGCAATGTCCTTCAGGGCTGTCCCTGTGCATGGAAGATGTCTGTGAAGCCTTGGGTTCTGGCTAAGGGCTGAAGACAGAACAAACTGAGGTGGGAGTTTCAGTTTGCAAAGATTGCTGAAATTCAGTGCTGCGCCCTGAAGGAAGGGGTATGACTTCTAGAAGGTACATAGAGTGGATATGGAATCGATAAGCTGATCATGGGACCCTGGGCAGGTGTCCTTAACTGGCATAAAGTCCTAGGTGGGGCTAACAGGCACACGATCATGAACGCACAGCTGGCACAGGTTCAACCAGTGTTGGTTACATCCTTCTGCTGCTCGTTAGCCTGGTGTTTCCTCAGCCTCTCCTAGGGCTCATCACTGACTGGGAATCTTGAGATTTTGATGTGCTTATTTCATAAAAGCAGATGAGTGCATTTATTTGCCAGAAACTCATCTGGAGTCTGGAATTGCCAGACCTCCTTTCCAGCCCCTCTGCCGGGAAGAGGCCTTGAGCACTGTTTTTGAGTCCCAGGTAAGTCCTGCAGAGATCTGCCCTGTCTCTGGTAGTTTTAAGAATTTGATGTGAAGCAAGTTCCTGATGCTAGCTAGAAATCAGCCTCAGCATAAGTCCAATATAGGAAAATTTATAAGATTAGAAATGTGTCCACTGCGTTAGGTTTCAATGTAACCAAACATCTAATTGTGTCAGAATTTCATATTTAAAAACAAAGCTGATTTTCAGACATGGATTCCAGAGTGCATGTCATTGGCGGCACCCCCTGCCTCCAGAGAAATTGTAGCCAAGAACGGAAAAGACCTGAAGTAGCACTCTCCATTGTATATCATACGACGGGAAATGAGCACAGCTTTAATGTCCTATGCAGAAATGAGCTTATCAAACCCACCATCGTGCTGCTGTGCAGTGCCTGGTCCCACCTGGGAGAACAGCTGGATGGGTTTCACCTTGCAAACTGAAGCCTTAACTGGCTCTCCATGGGTGGAGGCCAGTCAAAGGGAAGGGAAAGGAGGTGGAGGCTGGTGTTTCCTGTGGCCTATCGCTGCGGTCCTCCCTTGGCCAACAGCGTCACCCTTGTGCCCCTGTTTCTTGGCATCTTCTCTCACACACCTGCCAGCAAAACCAATGCAGCCCAGCACACCTGCCCTGATCCCTTCCTGAGTTACTCAGCACTTTGCTGTAAGAGGTTACATGGAACCATTTCAGGCTCACGGTGTCCCCTGCTAACCCATTCGCCTTGTCTTGAGGCCACTAGCTTGTATTTTCCTCTCCACTTCACAACCAGGTCATTGGGTATGATCTGCAAGACACCTTTTCATTCATACTCCTCTTGACCAGCTTAGCTGTGGTCAGCTCAAAGCCAGCCCACCCTTCCCATAGTGGTTCCTGGGACTCTCACTGTTTATCCTCACCCTCTATCCTGCCCTTTCATAGGGTATTGACCTTCACAGGATCCAGCTATGGCCCTAGTGGAGTCTCCTCCCTGTAACTGTGCCTGCTGTCATCCCTTTCCAGTCACCCACTCTGCCTTCTGTAGGCTGACCTCACCCTCCCCGGAAACCGTTGCCGTTGCAGGGATGTCCCGGTCATAGCTTTTCTGCCCCTGTCTTCTCCATTTGACACCCTTGACGGTCGCTCTCTCCCTCACAATGTCCTCTGCCTGGCCTCAGTGACAGTGTCCCTAAGCTGTGCCCTCTCTCGATGTCCCTTCACATCTCCCTGAGTACTGCTATCTCCTAGGCTCCTGTCCTCAGCCATCTTCGGCTTAGTAAACAACTTAAGTCAGAAGTCCTCTGCTCGGAAGTTCCTTCTCTTGGGTTTCTTTGTGTTCATCTGTCCCTGAGATCTGCCTGACCCCAGGCTCCTGACCTGTCTTTCTGGCTATCAGATGGGGCAGTCAGTCCTCTGGGCATCCCAGTCTGTTCAAAACCAGCATGCTTACGATTAAACTTAATTTGCCCCAAATACTCCTTCACATTCTTTATCTTAACCAGCGGTGCCCCCATCCACCAAGCAGTTCAATCCAGTAGCTGGGGAGGGGGGGGGGACGCTTGTCAATTTTTGTTTTTGCTTTTTGTTTTCCAAGACAGGGTTTCTCTGTGTAGCTTTGGAGGCTGTCCTGGAACTCACTCTGTAGACCACGTTGGCCTTGAACTCACAGAAATCCACCTGCCTCTGCCTCCCAAATGCTGAGATTAAAGGTGTGCACCACCACTGCCTGGCCGGGTTGTCTTTTCTTAATGGAACTCTGGTATCCAAACAGTTCAAACCAACTTTACCACCAAATTCTTCTAGCATCTGTCCCTCCCCTCCAAGCCTGCCATCACTGGCCTAGTCCAAGCTCATCATTTCTCATTCACTGACCGTTCTTGTTAGAAACCTATCAGTGAATTCGCTCATAATCCAACCACATTACTTCTTCACTTCAAAACTTCCAGGACAACAGGGTAGGTTTGTGAGTTCTTTATGGGGGCCACTGTCTGCTGTCCCTCTGGCCTGTGATCCACAACAGTTGGCATGAGCTATTGGATTGGGTCCATGCAAGCCCTTGGCAGAGGGGTCACTAGACAGGCCCTACAGAGAGACACCTAGGGGTGTCAGGTCTTAAGTCCCAGCAGGCCACTGATCTCAAACTGCCCTCTGGGACTTTTATTCAGCCCCCAACTCCTTAGCCCTACTTCACAAGGCTGAGGAAGCTGAGCTGGAAGGAGTGACTGATGGGATGTAAGAACACCCAAGCCTGAGCTTGCTGCCTAAGCAAGCCTAAAACTGTGTGTGCATCTGCTTCACACGGTACGAACCCTTGCTTTAAAGTGCTGGGAGTCAGGCAGAGTGGGCAATGGGCCCCAGCTGAGCCCTTGGGCAGTCCCCTATCCCTCAAAGCCAGGCTGTGATAGTGCCACAGCCAGGGTCCAGCCTATGATCCGTGCTTTATCAAAGGTTACCTGTCAGATGATCCAGGCAGAAGTCTCCCTATGAGATCATTCCTTCACTTGTAAAGCAAGAGGGGAGATTAGAGCATAAATACAGCCCTCTCTGTTACTCACTAACCAAGCAGTGTTGAGCTAGGTTTAAGTCTACATGTTGAACCAGTAAGGTGGCTCACTACTTGCTGCCAAGCCTGACAGCCTGAGTTCAACCCCCAGGTCCCACATAGAGAAAGGAGAGAACTTGCTTCCACAAATTGTCCTCTGACCTCCACACATGTTCCATGGTACACATACATACACAGATGAAATGTTAAAAGCTCTACATGCACTGATCTATGGGTATATGCATGAAATTATTAAACAATAAAAAAAGCATCACATTGTATCCCATGAATATCCATAAATATTATTTGTGTGAATAATGAATACTAAAAATATATTAATTTTTTAGAGCATACAGTTTTAGGGTTTTTGTCCCAGAGCAAATACTTTAAAAAAAAATCAAAACTCTACCTGTCTCACTTTCTTCATGGAGGTGGGAATAGCAACTACCTCCACCCTGGTTGTAAGAACTCCGTTACTGATGCAAAGACGGTTAGACCAACCTTCCAACCATCCCATATAGGCTTACGGTGAGTGTGGGTGGCTCCTGTTCACATTACTACAATGACTGCTCAATATGACCTCCTGTCACTGTTACCAGATTCTCCCAACCATCAGGCCATCTTCAACCAACCTTCAGCTAGCTAGACCACCCCCTCTGTGGCTTGATTCAGTTCCCCAAGACTGGTATCCTCTCCCAGACATACAATATTGGGGCAGGCAGGCCCGAGGATGCTAAGAACCTCTGATAACTAACTACACATGGGGACACAGAGGGTCAACTCTGGTCCTATCACTGTGTAACCTCAGGCAAGGCCAAACTCCTCACTGACCCCCACTTTTCTAGATGACTCCAGAGCCTACTAAACTCGCCTGTGGTTTCCCAAAAGGCCAGCTCACATGAGGGAGGTGATTTGACACATGCCTGGAGTCGCGCGTTTTCCTCAATTACTTACACGTTTTATGGAGTATCCCAAAGAAATAATTAGTACCCACACTTGATGGATCCATAGATACTGATACTGAGAGAAGGTAGATAGGAGCATGGGAGTGAGCATCTGTCATGGTTGGTATTAGGTTCGTGACACAAAGAATGCTGGGAATGAGCAGCAGATTTGGTGGGAGTAGCCTTTGCTAACAACTCAAGTTTGAAACTGCTGATGTCTGGTCTCTTAGGAGCTGACACCTATCAGTGACTGGCTTTCTCTGGGTTTCTGTCTCCTGATTAAGGAAATGTGGGATGAAAAGACCAGCAGACGGCTTCCCAATGTTGGGCTTCTGGCGTGGTACAAGGCCCGCTCAGGCTAGGCCTGGATGGACTTATATTGGACCCTGGACCTCCGCAGCACCCCTGGGCACTGTGGAGTGATGGCTGTACCCATGGATGCAGAGCCAGGCTCCAAAGTCCAGTGTGAACTCTTCCTAGCATGCAGTCTTGGGCAGGTCAAGCTGCCTTCTTTTCT